TGCAACTACATCACAGGATCACGCACATTTTTCGTGAGGGGAACAGACCTGCTTACTACCTTGCTAGCCTTGGCGCCATCATACCAGACCCACATACGTTTCAGACCGACACTGCTCCACTCTGCCTTCGCACGCTTGTACGGATGGACCAGCTTGGATATCCATCGTTCCGCTTTCAGTAGAATCGGTTTATTGTTTTCATTAGACTAGACTTTTTATTCCGGGCACCTGTTAGCCCGAAGACAGACTTTGTTTTGTTTCTTTTTTTCTTTTTTTTGTTTTTTGTTTTGATTGTGATACTCTGTCCATTGTAGTATGTTGATATTTTGGGCCCCCATTTTAGGGTCTTGATCTATGCATAGGTTGGGGATCCAGCCCAATCCCCCGCCCGGGGCGTTGTTTGTCCAAAAAAAAAATAAAAAATAAAAAATAAAACTAGTAACAAGAGACAACTAACCTAGCAACTACTTAGAACTAATAGAACTAACCTAGCAACAACAGACAACTAACCTAGCAACAAGACAAAACTAACCTAGCAACAAGATAGAAATAACCTAACAACAACAGACAACTGACCTAGCAACTAGACATAACTAACCTAGCAACATAAGACAGCTCATAATCACACTCTGCGTTTCATTTTCGCCAAAAACCCTTCCGCCGCCGACAACCACCGTCCGCCATGGCCTCAGAGAAGAAACTCTCAAATCCGATGAGGGAGATCAAGGTTCAGAAGCTCATACTCAACATCTCCGTCGGCGAAAGTGGTGACCGTCTGACCAGAGCTGCTAAGGTGTTGGAGCAACTAAGTGGGCAGACACCCGTTTTCTCCAAAGCAAGGTACACTGTAAGGTCGTTTGGAATCAGGAGAAACAAGAAGATGCTTGATATGTCACTGTTAGAGGTGACAAGGCAATGCAACTCCTTGAAAGCGGCTTGAAGGTGAAGGAATACGAGTTACTGAGAAGAAACTTTAGCGAGACTGGATGTTTTGGTTTTGGCATTCAGGAGCACATTGATATCGGCATAAAAGTATGACCCGTCAATTGGAATCTATGGTATGGATTTCTATGTTGTCTTAGAGAGGCCCGGTTATCGTGTGGGTCGTCGCCGTAGGTGCAAGTCGCGAGTCGGGATCCAGCACAGGGTTACAAAGGAGGATGCCATGAAGTGGTTCCAGGTGAAATACGAAGGTGTCATTCTTAACAAGGCATCCAATATTGGAGCTTAGTATGCTTTTTCATTTGTCCGATTCTTTATTTTGCTCGAAAAATGGTTTGTAGAATTTTGTTGTGGACAGTCTTTTACTTGGCTTTGTTTGNCTAACCTAGCAACTACTAACCTATCAACTACAGACAACTAACCCAACAACTACAGAGGGGGTCTTGATCTATGCACAAGTTGGGGATCCAGTCCAATCCTCCGCCCTTCCGGGGCGTTGTTTGTCTAAGAAAAAAAAAACTCAGCAACTACAGAGAACTAACCTAGCAACTACATAAAACTAACTTAGTTGTAAGGTTAGTTGTCAACGGTCAACGCCGGAAGTCAACAGTCAACGCCGGAAGTCAACGGATTTCGCCGGAAGTCAACGGATTTTGCCGGAAGTCAACGGTGAACGCCGGAATCAACGGGTCAAAATAATATTTAAATAATTAAAATAATAGAAAGAAAAGAGTAAATCTAGGCCACACATGATGTACTAAATCTTGTGGCTAAAAATGAGTCTCACGTCCTCACTTTAAATAAGTGGATGCATTGGAACCAATCTCTATATTTATATATATATTTTAATTAACTGGTCACGTGCTGAGTATAATAATAATAATATATAATTTATTTAATCAACTGATTACGTGCATACTATAATAATAATAATAGTAATAAACAATAGTAGTAATAGAAATTTCAAACAGGGGCCCAATTGATATTAGTCAAATTATAGGGGTGCAATGCAAATAGGAGAATCAACAAATGTCTTCCCTGGTATGGGTTTCATCAGTACCTTGAACAGCGTTGGCTTTGGCTGGTTAGCTTCTTTGGCTGTTTGCTGAATTTGCTGGCTGTCATCGTCCTCCCGTGGGCTCCATCCAGAAGAGAGAGCGAGAGAACCCATTTTATATCTCTTTATTGCTGCTCATGGGTTGCGTTTATTCTCATAATCTGGTGTAATTTTTCATTGGATGCTTTCTTTTTCCTTTTTGCCCTTTTCCCATTTTTCAGCTACTGTTCGACACTCACGAGTTTCATCGCTGTCTCTCTTCAGCATCGTTTGCTGGTGAGCGAGTTTTCCCCCTGTATTATTTTTTCCGCCCCTTCGTTATTGTGCGCAATTCTTGCTTAATTCTAGTGCTAGTTACATGGTCTGACGATTTTTAGTTCACGTGCTTTATCTGAATNTTTTTTTGGGGCATAAGGTGAATTACCGAGATGAAATGGGTTATAGGAAATAAATTCCTCCTTCATTTATTTTCAATTTTTTTCGTTATGTGCTTCGGCAGAGTAATTGATTTCTAGTTTATCTTCACCGTCTGTGCCTCATTAGTATGTATAGTTATTGGGACAAAATTGCAGATGAAAAATGTATAACGTTGTGGCTATGACTAGCTTGGACATCAAGGATTTTGTTTTCGTTTGATGGGACGAACAAATTCTAGGAAGGAAATAATTGTTTTTGCTTGCAATGTTTTATTTCATGTATGTCTGATTTAAACATCTTTATCATTGATGCTGGTTTGGGTCATGATGATCTGTTTGTTAATTGTTTTAGGTCACAAGTGTTAAGATCAAAATAGCCATTTTTCATCAGTCTTTTCTGCCTTTACTTTTCTAAACATAATTCAGGAAGCAGTAGATGAAAGATGAAGTGTTTGGCATTTATATGATATGACGAAGATGCTATATTCGTATGTCAACTGTACGTGGTATTCATCTTCTTCATGAAAGAATTTAATGTCTTCTTCGAAAGAATTCCAAAATGCACTTATTGTGACATTCCCTCCCACGCTTTTCTGATTCGGAGCCTTTTGATTTCCCTTTTTTGTGGGCATTTATAATTTGTCTACTTTTCGTCGGGTTTATTTGTCGTTTAAGTATGAAGGTCCTACAACTTTTTTCAAAGAAGTTACAGATGGCTTTTGTACGGTAGTCAACCCAATATTCTTGTTGGAAGTTGTGTTACGTAATCTTCAGTTTTCATTTTGTCTCAGCACAGAATTTTACCAGATTCATGGCTTAATTTGATTCAGTATCCAGTCATTTTCTTTGTGACTAAAATAATATATCCATCATTTTCATTGTTAGTAAAATAATATATTTTCGTTAGTAGTAAATTTTCTTCACTATACTTTCAACAGCCTATCTCTCGTTATGGTGTTTGCAAAGTGCTAACCTAACTTCCTAACTTGCCGTTCGGTTGAGGAAATTGTTTATAAGATGGCCAAAAAAGGAAATCAACAAAAGAAAGGGATGGGCCAGCACTCGACGGGCCTTAAAAAAGGAGCTTCTGAACATGTCCCCGCACCTCCAACTACTAACGATATGGGTCATAAAAATGGGCTTTCGAGTACTATTAATGAACAAAATGTAGGCTCTGGTGAAGAACTTCCAAATGGCATCCACTCCTCCACAAAGGGTGTTAAGGGCATTGATCATGTTCAAGATGCGAAAAACAGTAAGAAAAAGTCGAAAAAGACTCAATGGAAAGTGAAGAAAACTGTAAACGAGACAGCTTCTGGTCATGAAGTGCCTTCTAATGATAACATTGAAGCAGACAAGACTGATATGCCTACAGCTGAAGGTTTGGGTACTAAAGATGGAAGTGACTTGCCCCATCATTTTAATTCCGAGAAGGCGAATAATTCGGAAAGTTTTTCAAATAGGCTGAATAATGAAGAAGCGAGGCAGCACGTAGTGCACCCTGAAACACTTGTTTTTAAATTCTTACGAAATATAGCACTTTCTGTGGCTAGATCATCTGCTGACTGGATAGAGAGGCATAAACCTACTTTTGTTATGCTCAAGTCTAAAGCGCTAAAGGCTTGTGATCATGTCCAAATAAAGATTCAGCATGTGCAGCCTATCTTATTCCAGTGGATCGTGAATTTTGGGAATTTAATGCTGCTTGTGTTTATGGTTTGGTTGGATTGTACTTTGAGGGGCATTGATTCCTTTTTGCGCATGGGGACAACATCATTTTTCTCGATTATATGGTGTACTGTTCTCTCGGTTATTGCCATAATCGGATTCGGAAAATCTCTAGTTGCACTGGTATGTCATTTCGTGAGTTATTTTATAACCACTCATCTTTCGGAAGTTCTCAGATTTGCTAGGCATACAGTACCTTGATTTTGTGGTCCTCATCTGAATATTATGGATAATGCAGGCTGTAATCGCTGCCGGTGGACTATTTTTTGGTATTACATTTGCAGCTTTAGTAAGTGGTATTTTCGCAATATTTTTCGTATGGTTTTATGGGAGCTTATGGCATACTGCACTCATTATCGTGCTCGGAGGTGACTTTCTTCGAATTTAATAATCTAAATACTCTTTCAAGTTTTGTTTGT